TTTGCCCCGACCGGTTTTTTTTTTTTTTTTTTTTTGAAACAGGAAGAGACAAATGAACTAAATCGCCCCGTTTGTCCCATGTTTTTCGGCCAGATTTAAACTATGCCTAATACTAGACAAGATTAAAATATATTTTTAATTAAATTTTGGATTTATAATCGATAAAATAATTATTTTTTTGCATAAATATGCACATTGCATTCGAATTAATTGAAGTCATCTTGGATTTCATGGTGATTTGGATATAAGTGATTTTCCTTTATTTCTTTAGAAAGTACGCAGACCGATGAAGAGTCAGAAAAAGGTAAGAATTCACCAAGATTTACTTAAACAAAGTAAAGAGACTTTTGTGAGATAAAGTTTCAGCCGATATTTCATTCACCTTCACGAATGGTAATACAAACGGAAATATACCACAAACTTTGGAATTTATTGAAGTAAAAATTAAAGCATTTGAAAATATGATACGACCTTTAGTGGGGGTTATCATTATCACATTAGATGGGGTTATCATTTATCTACATTTTTTTCTTTTCTTTAAGTGGGTAGCCCGACCAGCGAAGAGTTACTTAAAGGTTAGTGGTCTCATTGTTTATCTTAATAGTGGTGAGGATTAAAAACATCCTAAGCTTCCTCGGCAGTGGTCTTGTATTTAGAAACCATGTTCAATTAATATACAGACTGAAATATTAAAGCAATAATAACTCTTCGTTTTGGCCAAAAAATGAATTTTCCTGGAGTAAACAACATTTTTCCCATACTTACCAATGGTTAATGAATCCATTTTTACATTCAAAGTTAGTCCCTGGTTTTTTTCTAAAAAGTTTGGTTTTTTGTTAAAATCTCTTAAGAGATTTTAACAGAGTATAGACATCAATGGAGGTCACGTGGTCTAAAGACAAGTTCAGATATCAGAATAAAAGCTATAACTGCTGTTTTTTGGTAAAACAGAATATATTATATTTCTATGAGTTATTCACAAGGTTTTTACTGTGAAATATAGATATCATACGAAGAGTTATTATCCCTTTAACTGTGCAATTATCTATTATCACGAGCATGATCCATTTAATGTGCGGGTAACTTTCACTACTACTTCTACTACTACTACTACTACTACTACTACTACTACTACTACTACTACTACTACTACAGCTGTGGCTACCAATTCAGATGAAACCAGTGTGGCCATTCCAATATTCAATTTTAGATTACTGCAATATATCTCAAAACGTTTAACGTCACATGCACTGACATGCAAATGCCTTTTTTTACAATAGAAATATATTTCTTGTAAGTTTTGTGTCGTGCTCCCTTCTTTTCATAACTCCTATGTGCCTTAAAGTTTTTTCCTTCGCAGTGACCGCCACACTCACGCGTTAAATTAGGGTAGTCGCGTGGAAATTATGCCATGATCACGGGTCGTAATTGCATCTTTCAAATGCTGTTTTACTGATTGAGTAGTATTAAGCAATTAAATTGGCGTGACTGATTTTGCAACATATAGATATTTATCCATGGGGCGGCCCGATTGCATTTATAATGGACGAGATATTTTTGAGTTATGCATCTTGCAAAGTGGAACTTTTGGTTAAAAGTGGCACAGATAAAAAAATGAATAAATGAATTAAAGAAAAGAGAGTCCAAATGTTTGGGTTAAGTTTAAAAGGAAATTTACTAGCGTAGGATGCAAATGCGTCCTTCCCTTTTTCTAAGCTTTAACGCACTGGGAGAGTGGGTCGCGTTGTATCCAGATTCTTTCAATTTGTAGTGTTCAAAATTGTGAGGTAAAGTTTTTGTATCATTTCCAAATAAAACTGTTTTGCAATGGCTTGGTATGCTTCCTTAGATTTTCACTTGCTCTTTTTCTTTTACGTTTTAGAGGATAAATATATTGATATGAAAGCACACAAAGGTTAGTATACCTCATGTTATTTATTCCTTCTTTCGTAACACTGGCATGAAAATATATTTGTTGTTCTTCTGTTATGCACTATTTTCTCCAAAGTAGGTAATTAACGTGAGAAAGAGGATTTCTGAAAATAAAAAAATGATATTTATAGTTTGAGGCTTTAAACATCGTCGGCCAGTTGAATTGTATAAACTTAACAACCTTTCCTGGAACTGACGCATCTTGCTTTTACAGTATAGGGTTGTTTTCCATAAGAGTTTTATAATCTAGCCATATATATTATTTTTTTAATATTTTTCTTTTGTATCAATCTTTAAATATTATTATTATTATTATTATTATTATTATTATTATTATTATTATTATGTTTGATGTGTATTATTATGTATTATTATGTTATGATTCTGGTAACCTTTCTTAATTTCGGATATTTCGGACCAGTGCACACCTTTACTTTGAGGGGACATGCTTAGGAAAAAAATACCAATTTGAGTTTTAGTGCATGATTCTCCTGAGCTGCAATGCAAATTTTAACAAAACCATTATAACGTGGAACATTTGGAACTTTTATACCCCCATTTGACTATGATTATGTTATTACGTATCATTATATTCTGTCAAATCTTCCGTGAGAAATTTAAGCACAATTGTGCAATTTGCAGTATATATTTGGTATTTGCAATGTGGAGAACATATACTCGGTGATTTAAGAACTAAATTTCTCCGCAAACCTGTTTGAGATTGACACGACCATTGTTTCAAATTCTTTCCATATCGTTCCATTTCTCACTGTAATTTTTCTCAACGATTTCCTGAAAAATTAAAATATTTAAATCTTAAAATGTATTCCAAGGATTCTGACAAAGTCCATTCTAATCGATATACAACATATTGTTTCTTATGAGTTTTCTCTTTCTTCCAAACCAGTTTTTATTATTATTATTATTATTATTATTATTATTATTATTATTATTAATTGATTTATTTATTTTGTAGTCCATGAAATTTTGATGATTCATTTAAAACCGTCAGTGTATTTCTTAAACTTTTTAGTTGTACCCAACACATTAGTCTTATCTTCGTGATATTTGAATATAATTTAATTTTAATTATCTATTTTAAAGTCCTTTGAGTCTCTTTAAGTTCAAAAACAAACTTTATGTTTTTACTGAATTTTATTGCTGATTAACGATCGTTCGCGGCCAAATGAGGCCGTGAAACGTCATGTATTGTGAATGTTTAGGAGTTTTTACACCTTTTTCTTGAAGAGTTTTTCGTGTGCGTCGACTACCATATGTTAACCAAGTTAGGATTTTAGATTATTTTGGAAACAGTCAACTGCAGTGTAGTCGACCTAGCTAGGTAACTCAGCTCGTGCTAGTCAACTACGGATTTAAGATTTTTTGTGTAACGGGGACCAGGACATATGAAGACGAGTTTTATCCCTTTATTATAGATTCTCCAAACCCCTAGAATTCAATGGTCTTCTTTTCTGTTATGAAAATCCAATCTATTCAATCTAAAGCCTTAGCTAAATTGAATTTGCCTCTAAGTATCCGTCCGCCGTAAAAGCATTGTTCATCTTCATTTATGAATATTGCCAGTTCTTTTTATGCAATTAGTTGTACATGCAGAGGCAAGTTTATACACAACATTAAGTAGGGATATTGGACCAAGATTTTTTTCCCAAGAATTGGAAGGTTTATTATGTTTTGGAAGAAGGACAAGTATAATCAAAGTAAAAGTTATAGGTAGATATAATTTCCATATGCTTCATTTATACATCTTATGATTCATTAATCCAAAATTATTTATTATCTCATGTATTTAAAAAAAATAACGCGAATCATACAGATTTATGGGTGGAATACATTTCTTATAGTATGTTTTCGACTGTATATTTGCCAGATTTATTTTCAAAACTATTACAAAAAAAATTAATTTACTTTATTTTTTCAAAATTTTGTAGCGGATAGTAACACGGAAAAACAAACGTTTCAAGGTTAATATCGCCAATGTTTTTTACATTATTTAATATTTTTTCAAACTTCATAAACTTACCTCTTTTGTACTTCTTTATTTTGTTTGTCTGCATATTAAACAGCTTTGCTACATTATTTCAACAATATTTAAATATTGACCAAAACACTGTTGGTAGTAATTCGGGAAATTCCCCCCCCCCCCCCCCCCCCCATCTCCCCAGTGGACAATTTTATTCAATATGCATGTTGTATTTTGTGTATGGTTGTAAGATCAACAGGTTAATTGCCCTTATTAGAAAGTGTTTCATTCAACTATGTCTTCAACAGTGATATACTTTGAAAGATTGATTGATGATTATATATTTAATTGCTACTCTTTGTAAATGTCTTCCAAATTACGGGAAAAAATGTCCAATATCCATGCATTTTTTTCTTCAAGAGCACCATGACGCTGAAATTCAAGATCTCAAACGTAAGTAACACATTGTACGGAAACTGTTGGTCCATAACTATCGTGAATAAACAACGCATTTTAAAGAAGTAGGCTGGACAATAACCCTAACATACAGTGGACTGAAGCTACTTCATTCCATATGGTGAATAAACAATACATTTTCAAAGAAATAAGCTTGATAATAACCCTAACATTAAATGGATTAAAATACTTCATTTCTCATATATTACTTTATATTCTCCAATATCCATGCATTTTCTATTTATTTAAGAGCACCATGACGCTGAAATTCAAGATCTGAAACGTAAGTAACAATTTTCTAGAATCAGCTTGGTTCTTAAGTATGGTAGGTTTAGTGACACTGAGGGTAACTTTATGTGCACCGCAAATAACTGGAGTACAGTAGACTACATTTTGTGTTCAACAGAACTCTTTCCCTCGATCCATACAGGATTTCAGTGTTGGTGATCACGATACATCTGATCATTCCCCTGTCTCATGTAGCTCCAACTGTGTTACGAATAGTCGCCTGGACAAAACATTAGCAATAATTAATGCAAACTATCTAAAAACCTAACATATAAATGGAATGAAACATATAAAGACGCCTTTCTGAGCAAATTTTATGACTTGTTTACCGCATTTTAAGGAAGGTGCAGGACGAGAATATCATAGACACCCAGACGGAATTCATTACTCTGTATCAATCAGCAGGCCAAGGTAAATGTCACGCAATTTTTATTTTACAGGACACAAATTGGCTGTCCCAGTGTCATGTGATGGATCAGATGAAGAAAATGCACCCAGCTAAACAAGGACTTGGTGTAAAGTTGAAATAGCTATAATTGAAGGCGTGGCGTCACACTTCAGAGACTATGTGCCACTATCCATCATTTTGACTTATCTGCACACCAGTGTTTAAAAACAGTATAAGCAATATATTTCATTTATATTATAACTCACACAAATGTAGAGCAAAGCTTGTAAATAATTTATCTTCCGTTATACACATATTATTGGGTAAATATGATGTACGGTATGAGATGATGTTAAATGATAATGTTAAAGAGATAATAACTCTTCGTTTTGGCCAAAAATTAATTTTCCTGGGGTAAACAACGATTCCACATACTAACTAATGGTAAATGAATCCAATTTTACCTTCAAAGTTAGTTCCTGTTTTTTTTATTTTTTTTTCTGAAAAGTTTATAAAAGATTATAAAAGATTATAAAAGAGTATAGCCATCAATTGAGGTCACGTGGTCAAAAGACAAGCTCAGATATCAGAATAATAGCTATAACTGCTGTTTTTGTGGTAAAACAGAATAATTATATTTCTATTAATTGTTCACAATGTTTTTCTTGTGAAATATTGATCTCATACGAAGAGTTATTTTCCCTTAATAATAGCAAGTCAATAATACTTGCGGAACATGCATTGCAACTATTATATGAAGTATCTACATGTAATTACTCGGGTGTTAGCTAATACAGCCCCGATGTAATTTCTGGGTTGCATTACAAGTTTCAAATCCAGGGTTTTACTATTCCTTCAGCTCCTTTACATATAGGGTACAAAGTCATCGTTTACTATAGTGCCCCTTAAATGAATAACGTTTTTTTCTGTTGTTGGCTGCGAGAATAGAAGAAAAAATGTTTTAAAATGATTTCTTTGTGCATCAATATGAAGGCTAAGACATTTTTTATGTAAATATGTACTAGCTTATTTTATTTTATTTATCATTATTTCTTCAGTAAGTAAATAGTCTTACTCATTGTAATTGCTTAATAGCATATTCACTAAAATTATATTTATATTATCATTTTCATCAAGCTAGTTGGATGCATACGTTACAGTGAAAAAAATGTATATAATTGTGTACATAAAGAATCAGGATATACATGTATTATACTTCTTGTAAAATGGTAGACCTCTGCCTGACCGGTCAACACAGAAGATGTTGATTATGTGTCTTACAATGGTATTACCGGACACAGTTTATGTGAGATTGAAGTGGATTATTGCCCTCTGATTGCACAGTTACCGCAGACTGTTTTGAATAATTCCCTTGGGCGACGCTACGTCGTGTCGATGTTAAGTAGTCACATCTTTAAGGCTGGTTGCGACATTATGGCCTTTAGAGATGACTTCATGATGCAAATAAAAATTGGTTGATTCCTATAGTTCATTTTTATCAATCACTATGTATTCTTACTGGGAATCGAGAAGCATTTATTAAACTAAAATTCTCTAAATGAGGGGCGAGGGCCTTTTTATACCTGTCTTGGAGGAATATTTCCTGATATTACAAGAACAGCCAAAGTAAATGTAACATTGTGGCTATTTGTACCAGAATCGTAATTGCATTCTGCAGAAACTTCACTTCTTTTAACTGAATCCTAATATTCCAAAATATTCCAAAGTCATTCTTGCATATGGAAACTGTTTCTTGACAACATTTGTCATGTTCAAGCTGTATCCTGCAAATATTCATGCAAACAAATTTATAACTGAATCCAACTGGGACAAGATTTCTACCAGATATGTTCAAAATGCTACGATACATCACGATTTCTAAAATTCATCAATCCCTGGCATTTGGTGGAATTTATTGTCGGTGTAGAATTAGGGCATTGTATAGGTATCATTAGTTAATTATATATATATGGTAGAAGGCGTTGGAGTCCCACTTTCTCTCACTGGCACTACTTGCTGTTGTCCTATCAGGACTGTACACTATTTTTAGATAATCTATATTTTCCTTATTGGCATAATTAATTGTGATATCAATGATGTTTGTGAATATCTGCAAATATTATTCAACATTTTGGGTGTTTTCTGTTTCATTTCTGCTCTTTTTACATAATAAGCTATTTTGTCTGATATTCATTCTGCAAATGAAACTGAATAATGTTATAAGGTGTTTTTTTATGCAATCTTCTGTCGATAATGGCAAACTTGTGTGTGTTTACCGCCCAAATAAACGCAGCGACTTTCTCGTTTCTTTAATTGAATTTATTTTGCACACCCATAATGTCTGAAACAATAAGTGAAATAGTATGATGTCATTTTCTTAAATAAAGGTATTATAATGAGTTTGATATTTACTTGTTTTGACATGTGGCAAAACTTTTAAATATAACTTTTAACTTTAAAACATACACCTGTTAGCATTATCACATTCTGGATTTATATGCAATTACTCAGACTGCACATTCTCTAAACCTAAAATTAACTTTACATTAATTATAATCCTTACTTTACATAAGCTTTTCACGCATTAACTAGTACGGCTTTGTGAATATTCGTGTTTTTACGGTGTACTAGTACCGGTTCTTAACCTTGTAGTTCAGAATATAAAACGTGGCACCTACGGATGAATAAACATACCATTTTAATATATTAATATTAATCAAACTTTGTTTTTACTCATATGAATAAAGAAATGATGTACGTCTGACCCAAAATACTACCTAAACACTAGTGAATTGACGAAAGCTATTCTACTATCTAGACATGCGAATTGCATCTTTACATATACTAGCCAGGCTCTGGCGGTTCTTAAATCATGTTTCTAAATTTCATATTTCTAACATATTCCAATAAGTTAGAAATAAGGCATTTCTAATAATAATAATAATAAAAACATTTACATTAAAGATCCAGGACACAATTCATTTTCAACGTAACTTTTCCTTTCTTCATATTCCTGCCCATCTATAGAAGACCCTCGTGATTCTTTCTGGGTTGCAAACCAGTATTAAAATCCTTTTGACTCCTATAGTAACGTTTAATTATTTACAATTCTTTCCATGATTTAACAAAAATCATGCACACTTCAGACTTAAACACTTCCACTCAAGGACAAACCAGTTCCCCGAGTTAACTGTCAGAATTCATCTGCAGACTCGCCGTTGCTTTGGCACGGTTGATGTTAGGAGACCAGTGATCACCGCCAGGAACCGTGTTCATCGAAACAGATGGTATACAGAAATCAGGCATGGACACTAGCCATCAACTAGGCAATGATATTATACTGAGATTAATTAAAGCAAGTATTGTCAGAATTAATGGGCGCGTAAGGATTTAGAGAACAGCTAGGAAAACGTATTTTCCCAATTCTCTGCCCATGATCGCTAGGATACACCCCACATAAGTGATATGATAGGGTGTATTAGCTACTATAGTGTAGACGAGCTGGCAGTGGTCAACGGGAACCTTAACGCAGACCATTGCATCCAAGTATTGGAAAGGAACTTAAGGGATTATATCGGGCATGTTTTGGGGGAATGCGATCACCCATTTATCTTTCAGCATGATAATACGTACAGCCAATGCAACGGTAGGCTGGTTATATATGCGAGCAAGTCCCCCCCNATCCCATTGCAAACAAAAAACTTATACTATTTTTGCACTGTATGTAGAATCACTGCCCAAACGTCACACTGAGAATGAAATTGTAGTCATTTAAACTCTCTAGTCAGAGTCCAGCACCCCTTGACCCTCATGGAGTTAATTTGACTCCTATATAAGGGTCAAATTACCCCACTACCAGAGTCTTTAGACTCTCTTATCAGAGTCTTTAGACTCTCTTATCAGAGTCAATCTCCCCCTGGCTCTCATGGAGTCAATCTCACTCTAAAATCAAACCCAAATTACCGGGGACCAGTGTCTGTCTGACCCCTTCCACCGACTCTTTTCCCTCGCTGGACAGCGGTTTTGTTTCCAGGTTGTAGGTTTGACCCGCCAATGCATGTCACTGGGGAGGTATGCTCACTCATTGGAATATTTGTATATATATATATGTCATGCTGTTTATAACCAGATTTACAAACTATTTATTATTGCTGTTTCAACACCATATGCGACCGGATGGCCTTGTGGTTAGAGTGTCCGCCCGGAGGACTAAGGTCGAACCCTTCCGGGGACAAAGCAGTCTTTATTAAACGGTGCCTGCTGTCTCCCCGCTTGGGAGTGTTGTTGTTGTTGTTGTTTTCATAATGCGCCAAGGAGTCAAAAATTCCTTAATATGGGGTCATGGTGACTCTTTTGTAGAGATAAGCCAAGGGATGAAGGGGTGTGTGAATGGAATCAATTGTGACCCTCCTGTGGGGTCTGGGGTGGCGTTACTCCATCGGAGTCATCTTGACTCCAATTGGGAGTTATTTTAGGTACCACTGCTGGACTCCAAGTTTGGAGTCACTTGGACTCCGATTTCATTCTCAGTGTACCGATATTTTAAACTCCACGCACAGAAACCTCAGGTGTGTCGTCCAATCCAAAAGATATTGTACAAAACACTAAAATATCATTGAGTTTTAAAATATGGTTAGTTTACTTATTCGTGGTACAGTCAGTAAATGTTTGTGAAAAAATCTTTAAGAAGCTGAATAAAGAGCATTTGTTCATGACATGATTTTTTTATCACTTAACTCATTGCGTTAGAGGTGCCACTTGTTTGCTAGGGAGTGCGTATGCGCAATTGGGAACTTCCACCAAGAGCCTCAAAGTTCAAATACCACTCTGAGCCGTAATACCCGTGCAGCTTTTAATCGCTCGCCCACAGAAGTCTGTCTTACATACAGGGAAATCGGCAAAGCTGTACACCTGCCAAACAGAAAGGCACCAGGGAAGACTTGTTCTTTATTTTATATCATGAAGAACAAGGCAAGAGCGTCCAAGAGTTCAATTCACATTCCCAGCTGACAATGACACGTACAGGTATTTTAGGTAAGTGAAGCGCATCTCAATTAAGCCTCGGTCACAACCGGCTACGGGCTCTAACGGGCTGTTTGCGTCCAAATTTTGGGCAAAATTTCACGTCCCACGCAAGTCCTTCTTACGAAATTTCGAGCTGGCAGACAGCCCGTAAGCACGTACGAAGAATGTTGAACATGTCCAAAGATTCTACGAATAGCCTGCGAACAACGAGGCCGCAAGCATAACTTGCTCCCCACGCACGGAGAAAAAAAGCTTACATAGTAGAAAAAAGGGCGGAGGAAGAAGAAAGAAGAGGAGAACAGGAAGCAAAACTGACGTACGCCGTCAGTACGTCACTACAAACGTGTGAGGCAAGTGTGAAGCAAAACTGACGCATGAGGGCACTACTTTCGCCGTGCGTTGCATTTCCTTTGATG